AGGCACAAGATATAAACTAAGGCATGATTTTATTCACCAAATCACTTGTGTCCCTTTGACATGAATCCTAAGCAATCAAAAGTAACTCCCTCCTAGAGGTAGCTCGACCTACACTTTATATGAGGACTACCTTAGCCTAGACACTTAGCCTCACACTTCACATGTCAGATTCCCTCCCCTACTAAAAGGTGTCAAACACTCAATCCACTAACCTCTTTAGTGCACTGAGCCCATAAATAAGTAAGGCAACACTAAGTACTAGTAGTATGCTATAGAATATCACAAATCCATACTTCCCCATTGCTCAACTCCTACCAAGATCATTCCCCCTACCTTTTTTTACCTTCCCCGAGTATTGAATACTTTAATACTCTAAGGTAGTATAACACATATAATTACTCCCTTAATTAGTTCCTTAGCCTATCTAAGGTACCTTACCCAATTACACTTCCTTAAGTGTAACTTTTAATTTCTATGATCACAATGCATGCTAGCAAATCTTATTTCCAATAAGAACTCCATTGTTAAACAAATAGGAAAAGCATAAGTGCATTATTATCAAAGTAATGGCCCCCATAAACCCTTATAAAATATATTTGATTGCATTCAATTATTTAAAATATGTAATGCATGCTAGATAGTAATATTTACTCAAAAATAACTACATGAAGCAATAAAAAATATAGTTTTCCTTGTTACCTAAACCCTTTTTGTACCAAAAGGGTTTTCCTTCTACAAAGATAAGACTTGGCTTGTTTCTTAACCTCAAAGTAGGTTCCACCAACAACCCTACAACACATAAGTGATACACATCACTTATCATGACACATAACATAAAAGAAGGCTATAAATCACACCATACTATTTGGGCCAAAGGACCATAATCCATCCCAATGGTCTATATATCAAACTAATGATTCACATAACATCACTTAACCTCTAAACTCATTTATATGCCACCAATTTCGAAACCATAAAGCTTTTGTTCATTAAAAAACCAACACTTAGCATTACCAACTTTTACAATTAGCTATGATAATAATAACCAAAGCTTAATCTAAACCTTATTGGCTTCAAACAGTACAATTCTAACCAAATCAATAGGCTTAAACCATTGAAGAACAAAAATCCAATTTCCTAATGTTTGAGTATGTCCAAATCACCCTTTTTTCATCCAATTGCCCACTCAAAGAAATGAAGCACCATCTAGAAACTTAAAACAACCTCTCTAGGACACAAGGAAATCAAAACTTACAAGAACAAGGCCCTTGGGATCAAAATCTCAAAATCACTCTTTCAAAAATTTGAAGAAAACTAAAGAGGAAAGAAGAAGAATAAAGTAGGGAGCTTACCCAATTTATAATTGACCTCACAACCACCACAAAACCTTTAAAAATTTGAGCCCTAGCTTCCCTCTCTTCTTCCTCTTCTTCTCCATTGATCTCTCCCTCTCTCTCGGCTCCTCCCTCGTCTCCTGCTCTCTTGTTTTGTTCCTTTCTTTTTTTAAAAAAAAAAAAGCTGATCCTTTTTTTTTTTGAAAAAAAAAGCACGTAAATTAAGGGCATTTGGCCTAGCCTTTAATTCCCAGTCTAGTCCTAATCTGACTTGAACCTTTACCAAATTATTATAGGGTTTAAAAACTCACAAACTCACTCTAAATACTATCAACTTAATCAAGTTTCTAATTACTAAATTATCCTTAATTTTTTTATTTAAATCTAGGCTTCAAATAAAACTCGGGATGTTATTATATTTAGCTGCTAACGCATTTATAGATATGGACTTATTTATGTGTTTCCTTTTTTAAAAACATTTTTCTCTAAAATAAGATTTTACTTTTCGTCTTTTCAGTCATAGTGTACTTTCATGATATTTGTCCATGGAAAAGTGAAAGTTTCAAAGAGAGAATTACATCCAAGGACCTAACAAAAAATTTATTTACAGACAAAGATTAATATGAAATGAATTGTTGTTAAAATAAAAACATATACTTGTTTTTTTCTTGAATGTGACTTGTCATTAATCCTTGTCTGCTAATAAGTTTCTTACCAGATCCTTCGATATGATTCTCCCAATTTTAAATCCCATATCTTGGCTCTTGGTGTGCCACATCATTCACACACTATTCAATAAAAAAAAACAACTTCACAATATTTATAATGAACCAACATTTTGTATATTTTCTCTACATTTTATCTCTCTCCTATTAACTCTAACTATATATTTTGTGTGCTTCCCCCTTAGCATAGAATATGGCTTGATTGATTTCTTGTTTTTAGAATAGTTTTTTTTTCTTAAAAAAAAAATTTGTTTGATAATGTGTTTTTTGTAACATGTTGTGAAAAATAAAAAAATTAAAAGCTGTTACTAAAAGTTAAAAATTTGATAATGTTTTTGGTTACTTGTTTTTGTCACACCTCAATATTAAGGATATGATCGGCATAGAATATAACATGGACTTACATTCCATAAGCCTTAATTATCTAGAAATTAAGTTGATTGGCAATATATGCAAGTTTATATATAATAGTAAAGTTCTTAAAGTTTTTTTTTTAAGTTTTTGTAGAAATTTCAGCAGAGTCTCCCCTATAATCTGGACCTCCCGAAATTTTCACAAACAACTACATAACCTATCAATCAAAACCAGCAAGGAGACTAGTTCCATTTCAAAAATTTTCACGATAACAAAATAAAACTAGGATCCAACTATATGGTACGTGGAGCACTAACTTATAATTACAAATACAATACAAGATTTTAACAAAAAGAGTAATCACATGTACTTCCTTTATTCAAAAAGCAAGAATGGCCCTCAATGGTCAGTCGAACGTGCAGGGTTAGCTATAATATTTGAGACCAAAAATTTATTGGTGAGTAGCGTCCCAGTCCAGATTTTAATAAAGAAGATATATAAAGACAATAAATAACAAATTTAACTTCAAATAATTTAATGAAATAATGAATTATTCAAAATTTAAAATAAATAATGATTTTTCATAATAGCGTGATTGTGAATTTAAACAAGGCTGATAGAATCACATATGTATATTAAAAGTCTTACTATTCACAAAATATAAAGAGTTACAATAAACACAGTTCGATAAAGTACTTTCAAAAATATTTTGAAAATGTAAATTTAAATTTGAAATTTTAGGAGGTCTTTATCAGAATGAATAACAAAGTGTGGACACATAATTCACAAGGGTAAATAACCAATCAAGCATAGCCAAAGGCCACAAAACAAGTATGGCTGAAGCCATGAATCAAGCGTAGGCTTAAAGCCTACGCATACAAACATGAATATGATACTCATGAATAACCATCTCTTCGTTCCATGTGTGTTGACCGTCGCACAGGGCTAGCACCTTCGATAGCACTTTGCTAGTTAAGTGTACCATAGCACGCCAAGGGCTAACAGAATTGTCGTTAGCAACCAGTGTTCTGAACTCAATCCCCCTTTAATTAAAACCAAGCGTGTATGGAGCAAGAAAACATTATCAAAATTATCATTTTCAAATACTGTTCAACTAACATTTTCCAGTGCCTCAAATTTATTTTCATTTCCTCCATACACGAATAAATGCATAAAAAAATTATTAACATAGAATTAAGTGATTAAACTACTTTTGAGAAACAATACCATTTGTCATATATCCATTTCAATTATTACTTATCAGCAATATAATCAGTAACATCAACACATTTTCAATAATAAAACAATTGTTAGAGAAAAAAATAGAAATACAATATTTGTACAATTTATAAAGGAATAATAGTAAAATTTAAATGAAAGAGATTTATAAACACTTTATTAGAAATTGATTTGAAATGCCACCTACTCACCTGAATCCCAAAAATCCTATGGTCAGACTCTCTTAATTTCTGCTTACTCCAATGATGCCCCAATTTAATCTAGCATGTAAACCACCACATTTCATGCCATTATGATTTCCTTTCTTAATATAAGCAAGTGAAATTAACATTTAATTTCTTCAATTATTCATTAAATTTCTCAATAACCCCTTAAATTCTCACCAAACCCTTCAACAACCTCTATTATGTAGTCAACAACACTAGGCACATTCAAACACACTCATTAATGCAACTCTTTTCCAAACTTAATAAAATTTTAATAATCCTATTCCCATCAACCTCTTCTTTCAAGCATACTTACAAATATCGTGAGTATATCAAAAATTTGTTTCACAATAATTATCCAATAATTTAATCAACCTTTAACTATAACTTTATTATCAACATTCAGCTCATCTCCAAACTATAAGAGTACACAGCATTCAATTAAAGTACAAATCAATTTTCTCAAAATTATAACAGACATTAGGAGGAGCAGAGACACATTCTTCGGCTAAGGGAAGGAGAAAGGATGATTCACGCTGCCTATAAATTCAAAGGAGAAGAAAGCATCGCGGTCTAACCTTGAATAGAAGTGCAGAAAAAAACAGCTTCTCCTTAGTTCATAGACTACACCAAAAGACAAAGGAAGAATTCAACTTAGTTGCTCCACGTGAGGAAGAAGTAGAATCAGCATATATATATATATATAACTTGAGCTTTCTCTATAAACACCACACGGTGCTAGCAGTAGCGGAAAAAGAAAAAACTAAGGCTGAATATGCATGCTTACACCCCCTTTGTTAGTCACCAAAGAGAACAAAAATTCAGCTCATCATCGGACAAACACGGATGAACAGCGAAGAGGAAGATCATGAATGAGTTTTGTAGCGAGGAGAGAGAGGATCAACAATTTACCACAAACTACAGTACAGCGATGACGGTTCAGGATCAGCATGTGGTCGAGCTTGGTGAAGGAAGCAAGCTCTGTCTTGCAACTCAAATAAGGAAGACGGAAACCAAAAATTGTGACCACAAAAAGAGAAAAATTTAGCTTATCATATAGCTATATAAAACGTTCAGCAGATAGAGAGCTAAAAGGATTGAAGCTACACACAAGCAAACGCACACGGACGCTCTACCTGGATGGATAACGAAAAGATGACAGCAAAGGAAGAACAGATTCTAGTGAGCCACTTCTAGCTGCCAAGACGCACCAGTTCAGCCACCGGTGAGAGGAAGAGCAAGCCGAAGGTGAAGAGATGGAGTTCGATGGTGATGAGAAGAGAGAACTCAAGGTCGGTGAATAACAAACGCGAATGCTCCGTTTTTTTATTTCTTTCACTCGAAGAAATAGCATCTGGTAAGAAAGTTTGGGAAAATTACAAGAAAAGCACCAGAAAACTTACAAAAAAAACCCAACAAAAATTACAAAAAAGGACCCAAAATTCTACTATAATCTAAAACAAAATAAAATCAAAGTTACAAAAAAAATTATTTTAATAAAATATCCCTTGGAAGGAAATTTTGTTCGGATTAAAAATTTTTGATTGTTACATGTTTGGTATTGTGTATTTTCTTTGCAAAACTTGTTTTGAAAAATTACTCTACATGTCACACATCAATACTAAGGGTATAATTGGCATAAAATATGAGATGCACTCACGTTTCATAAGCCTTGGTTAATTTGAAATTAAGCTAAAATATTAATATATAAGTTGTGTATATAATAATAAAGTTCGTAAAAATTTTAAATGTTTTGACAAAATTTCGGCAGAGTCTCTCCTCTAATTTAGACTTTCCAAAATTTTTATAATAACAAAACCTATCAGCCAAACCAACAAGAGAGACTAGCTCCACAATAGCAAGTTCCATATCAACAAAATAACACAAGAATTCAACTACTATGTACGTGGACCATTAACTTCTAATTATGTAATACCATACATATAATTACCAAAAAGGATTATTGCAGTGTGCCTCTCCTTTCAAAAAGAAATAGTAGGGCCCCTCAATGATTTGTAGGAGGCATATGGTCAGCTACAATATCTGAGATCAAATAAATTTTCGGTGAGTAACGTTCCAATTAGAATTAGAATTTAAAAATTTACTAAAATAGAACTAATAAACTTAGTTTAAAACAATTTAATGAAATAATGAACCATACACATAGGCTAACAATAAAGAAAAAGTTTCTCAATAATGCAATCATGAAATTTAAATAGCACTATTAGAACAATATAAATTTATCAAAATTTGTACTGCTTATAAATATAAAAATTTCAATTGATGATACAATTAAGTAGAATGCTTTAAAAATTTTAACTCAAGAAAGATAAATTTAAATTTAGGAGGACTTTATCAGAACAAATAATAAGCGTGGACACACAGTCCACAAGGGCAAGTAACAAATAAGCATGAGCACACAGTTCACAAGGGTAAATAACCAGTCAAGCACAGTTGGAAGCTACGAAACAAGTGCAGCATAAGCCACAAAACAAGTGTAAGTACTATGTTTATGAATATCCATCCCTCCATTCCACGTGTGTTGGCCTTTACATAGGGCTAGCACCTCCTATAAACACCCTACTAGCTAGGTATAACATGGGACGGCAAGGGCTAACGGAACTATCGTTAAGAACTAGCATTTTGAACTTAGTTCCCCTAATTAAAATCAAGCGTGTATAGAAAGTTGAAAAACAATTTTAAAATTTTCACCTTCAAAATATATGATTCGGTTGTCATCTTCCATTTCCATATTCATTATCATTTCTTTCATGCACGAGTTGCTATACTAAAAGTTTGCATATCAAATATAACATTAAACAATTGAGTTGTTTTTGAAAAGTAACACCGTTTATTGTATATCAACTTTAATTATTATTTATCAATAGCATAAATCATTAGTAAAATCAAGATATTATTGCTAATAAAATAATTATAAAAAAATAGAATTGACAAGAATGTTATATAACTAATAAAAAATAGTATTAAAATTTAAGTATATGAATTTTATAAACAATTCCTTGAAATTCATTTTGAATGCTACTCACCCGCCTAAGAGTTTTCAAGAATCTTATAATTAGACTCCCTTAATTTCTTGCTTACTCCGGTGATACTCCAAATTAATCTAGCATTTAAACCAACAACTCTTATGTCATTATGATTTTCCATTCTTAATATAAACAAGCAAAATTAACATTTAGACCCTTCAAATATTATTTAAATTTCTCATTACCCCTTAAACTCTCCCTGAACCCTCCAACAACTTCTATCAAATATTCAACAAAACCAAACAACATTTAACCCCAACCATTAACACTTCTCTTATTCCATGTTTAACCAAAACCTCAATCATCGCATAAGCTAACAATTTCTCTCTTTGGTGCTATACAAATCCAATGAATAAATCAACTTTATAATTTATATGTAAAGACATATACTTTCTTGAGTAGTATAAATTTCTTTAAGCTCTAATATGAAAATTGAACAATTTTATTTCCATCAATTTTTTTCCCCAAGCATTTTCACCAATACCTTGAGCGCATCACCGTAAGCTAAAGTATGAAATCAACATTCAAAACTTCAAACAATTTCAAATATTTAATTCTACAACTAAGATTCAGCTCAATATCAAAATAAATTGGCATCCATCGTTAACCAAACAACACCTCAGTTTTCTCAAAGTCAAGACAACAATAATGAGCAGAGATGCCTTTTTGGGCCAGGAGAGGAAGAAGAAAGGAAGAAGAATGGATCAGCAACTTACCACAAACCAAAATACACTAGCTTCAGCCACACCTAAGCTCACGGATGATGCCAAAGGAGAGAAAAAAAGCTTCATCTCTGCTGTTCAAATGAGAAGAAGGAGCAGAAAATTAGGGACCCTACAAAAGAAAGACTTAAGCTCACCATGCACACACGGTGTCCAGAAACTAAGGAGGAATAAAAGTGGCAACTGAACGGACACACGCACCCGCTATCAGCCCAGAACATAGACGAACAGAAAACGATCACCCCAACTCTCCCAACAGCAGAGACGCAACAGTGAGGATCAACGCAGACTAACGGTGAGCAACTGAATTGTAGACTGGAAAAAAAAAAACTTGAGCTTATTATTCATGCACACACGGGCCTCCAACAGCTGAGGAGGAAGAAAAATGGAAGCTAAACACACACACACACACACACACACACAACCGTCGAACCCGAACGAAGAAGCAGCGAAAAACAGGGATGAACAAAGGATTCTGATCACTCCGCACGCTCAACAAAAGAGATGAACCAGGGCAGCAAGATGCACGCCACCGATGAGAAGAAGAACAAGTTCGAAGGCGAGGAGGAAGGCTTCGAAAGTGATGAGAGAAACAAAATCTAAGTCGGTGAAGAGAAGAGACCAGAATGCTCTGTTTTTGCTTTCACCCAAGATATAAAAACCGAAGAAAAGAAGTTTTGAAAAAATTACAAGAAAATACACGAGAAAAACACAAGAGAAAGTGCAATACAATTACAGGAAAGGGCACTACATTTTCTTATAATTTTAAAACTGAACTTTTTCTCAAAAAACTTTGGACCCTAGATCTTTGAGGAAATTCTTAGCATAAATTTTTATAAACTATCCCATTCTACTTGCCATTAAACTTATTTAAATAAAATATCTATTAGGAGAAATTTTTTTATTTAATTTAAAATTTAGGGTCATTGCATTGCATCAAGGTTTCAAGAGCATAAAAATAGAGAAAAGTGTTAGAAAAGCTAGCACCCAAGAGTATGGTGAATTGGTTGTTCTTAATTTTTCAAAAACTCTTCTCTAGTAAAACAAAAACTAAGTTTATCATAGCAAAGTATAAGAAGAGCTTTTAAATCAAATAAGTAAAGAGAAGAGAAAAGCTTGACATAGTGGATTTATGCTAGTTCAGCCCAACTACTTGACCTATAAGTAATCAAATCTTAAAACTCTCAAAAGAGTAGATTTAAATACAATGAAAGCTTATAAACTATCAAACAAAGAGCTTTTCAAAAAGCAGTTAATGCAGTAGGTAAAACAATAAATGCAAGTTATTAATTCATTACCCTCTTGCTTAAATGAGGCTCTTGATATAGTGTGTAATAGTCCTCAACCCCTGTGGTATCTTGGACTGGGCCTATACACCTCACGGTGGCCTAAACCAACTTTCCTCATGGTAGTTTACAAGTTATCCCTCAAGCCATGTGCTATCTTGGGACCTTCCAAGATTCGATCTTCCAATCTCCTCCTTCTTAACGAGTTGATTTAATGGCACGAGGTTCAATCTCAACTTTGCTAAGTAGGAGGAGGTTGAAAGATTGAATCTCAAAAGGTCCCAAGATAGCACATGGCTTGAGGGATAACCCATGAACTACTACAAGAAAAGTTGGTTTACGTCGCCGTGAGGTGGACAAGCCCAATCCAAGATACCACAAGGGTTGAGGATTGTTACATAAAAAATCTCGTACCATTAAGTCAACTTGACTCAATGGTATAAGATTCAACCTCAACTTCACCAAGTAGGAGGAGGTTGGAGGATTGAATCTCGAAAGGTTCCAAGATAGCATAGGGCTTGAGGAATAACCCGCAAACAACTGTGGGAAAAGCTAACTTTTGTTATCATGAGGTGGGTTGGCCCAATCCAAAATAGTAGATGACTTGAGGACTGTTACATAGTGTGGGGATGATTATGGCCATTAGAGATTTCAATTAGCCATTTAGAACTGTTGCTTGCATGTATAGAAAAGAAACTTATTAAATGAGTATAGGATGAAATGAGTATCAGTTGAAATTTCTTTTCTTGGCCCTTCTCCCTTTACTTAATTTCACCTGAATCTATAGGAAGATTTTTCTGTAGACCTTAATTTTATATTTATTTGTTAACAAGCCAGGGTTAATAATATTTGATATTTTTGCACCATAGAATTTAATGAATATTATTAGCTTAGAGTTGTGATTTTTTCTTATTTATTTCATAGTCCGTTACGAAACAACTCCATCATTTTATTTCATTAAAATTCAAATTATGTGACATATTTCCTTTTCTATTTTTAAACATTTAGTACATAGGAATTAGAAATTCATAATAAATAGAAATATTATTTAAACGAGTATAAAAATAAGAAAGCTTCGATGCTTAGCCTTACATCCCAACTTGAAGCTTTTGTTAAGTTCTCTTTGTACACATATGTTTGAAATATTATTTTAGCCAAATTTATATATTTATTTTTAAAACAAATAAATAATCTTACGTAAACTAAAAAAATTAAAATATGAATACACAAGTAATAAAAGTATATGCAATAATTTTTTTGTAACTTGAATTATTTTTAGACAATATCTATATTTAAAGAGGGATATTTAGTTTGATCTAATAGATGAGTGAATGAAAATAAGATGGGATAAAGTAACTTTTAACGATTTGGTTCCTCAATTTTAATTTATATCATTTCAATCCTTAACATTTGCTTTAGTTATCAGGTTACTCCTTTATGCTTTGTGAGACAAAATAACCCTAATATGGAAATTAGATTGCTCACAGGGAATATACATGTGGATTAAATAAAATACTTCAGTCAAATATGTCAAGTCCTAGCTTATCGATTATTTATTTTAATATTTTATTACATTTTCATCACTATCATGGATTTCATTAGGACTTCACAGATTTGGTTGATATGTTTTATTTAATCCATGTGTGTTTTACAAATCAGCAATCTAATTTTTACATCATCTTTTTTTAGGGTTATTTTGTCTTACAAAACTTAAAAGATTAACTTGATAATTAAAGCAAACTTTAAGGATTAAAATGAAAGAAATTAAAGGTAGGACCCAATCAATAGAACCACCAAATTTAAAGGACTAAAAGTTGATTTATCCCAAATAAAATATTAAAAGTAGATGGGAGATTTGTGTTTTGTGACTTGTAATTTTATGAGAGGTTCGTATGTGTTTTACAGATAGAAGGAAAGATATATATATATATATATATATAATAACAGTAAAATAGAGGAAATGTCGGAATATTTAACTCTTAATATTCTTTGTATTGTGTGTTAGTGTTTGGTAAATACAAGTTTAGAGTTATGTTTTTTAATATTTATTTCATATATATATATATATTCATCACATCTATATTATTTCATTGAAATTAAAATTATATGTTATATTTTTTAATTTTAAAAAATCTAAAATAAATTTATTAGAATTTGTATAAAAATAAATTACAAATTATTATATATGTATTCATAATTATTTAATTTAAAATTACAATATTTGAGCACCAAAAATTTGAAAAAAAAAATTAAGAAAGGTGAAACAAGTTCGTTAAATTTATATACAAATTTTAAGCTCTTTAGAGATGAATTAAAGACAAATTTTAAGTATTTAGGGAAAAATTTTATTATGCATTCATGGGAAGCGAAGGAGATAGAATTATTTCATTTCTAAACTCATCTCTAAATAGTTAGAGACGAATTTTAAGCTATTTAGATATGAATATTTAGCTTCTCCAAGTCCTTTTTGTAGTGAAATAGGTAAAGAAACATAAGGGAAAGAGATAGAAAATATATAAAGTTAAAATCATAATTTTTTTTTGGGTGTCATTTCATTTATATTATGCATTCATGGAATGGGAATTATATATAGCTAGTGATTGCAATCACAAAATAATACACAAATAAGATCATTAGCTAATGAGACCAAGTGATATATGATACATGAAGAAGTTAAGTACACAAATGAAGCACCACATTATTTGTGTTCTTTTTTTTCCCGATGAAACACATTATTCATATTCTATTTTATAAAAGGATACCAAATAATTATAATAGCCCACAAGTTTTTATACTAGTACTCTTCAAGATTTTATCTCTAGATCTCCCATTGACATCAATTAAATTTATATTTTCTTCCTCCCCTTATTTAAAAAAGTACATTTTTACTTGCTTAATTTATTTAAAATTTTCAATTTTTTTATTTTACAAAACTATTAACTTCAGATTAAAATAATTCTTCTAAACATGGCCCCTTAACAAAATTTTATGAATTAAAATCTCTCAGTTATTTAAAACATTTACAAAGATTAAATAAATGTATATTATTTTGTCATTTAAACTTTCGTGAAAGCTTTTTCAAAATGAGTAAAGCCTTAGAAGGCACAGATAGGGAATATTCAATTTCATTTTGGATAATCTGAATTATATATTAATTTTATTATTTATTATTATTTTCTTAAGAATTTAGTTCAAAAATATTTTTTTGTTATTTAAAAATGTTAAAAACAATAAAATATAAAAATATGTATTTAGAGAATGTAGACCAGGGTGAATCCCAAAGTGAATCATGAATAAAATGGCGTTTGACTATTATATTTTTTTAATTTACAATTCCCACTTAATTTATTCAAATGAAAGAAACTTTATGATATATTAATTAATTCTCTCCAGGCTCAATGGTTCCCCAGCATAATTGGAACTCCCTCCATCCTAAATTATAAGATAATTTTGGAAGAATTTTATTTTCTGAAAATATAAGATAGTTTGAGAAAAATAAAGTTTCATAAATAATAATTTTTTAATATTATCTTGCAAGTGGAGGGAGAATTGAAATGATATTACAGTATAATGGTTTAGCATGTAAGGGCATTTTTGAAAGTTTAGAGTTTTGTTTTGAAAAAGTAAGTTTATAAAGTGTTATTATTGTGTTTTATTATATGGGTATGCATAATCTTGTCTTAAATCATCTTATAATTTGAGATGAAAGGAGTAATTAATTATAAATATATGGTATTTAGAGAAGCATTTTATTTCATTTTCACTGACTAATCTCAAACACTTTTATATATCATTTCCTCACAACACTAACATGCATTTTTCTTGAATATAAAATTGATTGAAAATGATGGACAGTGACTCAACTCATGATCTTGTAAATTACATCAGCCCAGGGTTATCATATTTTTTGTTGATGCGAGCACGCGCTAAAATGTAGCTTTTCTGACATTCCATTCATGTCAATTCACAGGCAACTCGGTTTCACAACGGTTTCAAATATTAGCAAACAAATTAATTATTCTTGAAAACGAGTCTTGACCAAAAAAAAAAAAATCTAAGTTGTCAATTGGCCTCAGGGGTAAAACATGGATTGAATGGTAATCTTCAAATATTAGCTGGCGTTGCTAGAAAAATTATATGTACAATACAACTCCTTCTTTATTTTGGTATTATGTAGCTATCTACATAATACAAGCTTGTCTCCTAACAATTTGTCAGATTTTTTTTGGATTATTTTTAATATCTATAATTGTCTTTGTTCTTAACTAATCTATTTGGTTTCTTGGCTATAATTCTTCATCGGTCATGTAAAGGAATATGGTTTATCTGAATTGTTTTCTTCTATATTTATTTTGGTATTTTTATGCATCTTTTTTTTTCTTTGCAACATTTTTTCTGTTTTTTAAAAACAATTGTCATCCGATTTTCTGCTATAATTATTAATCCAAACGGATTTGAAGGCTCATCAATCTTTGAAAGTAATTGTAATATTGTTAAAAAGCATAGTGAGACCTTCTAACTATACAAGCTCACTTTAATGTAAAAAAAAAAAAAAAAAGTGAAGTTCTATCATCTTTCTTCAACATTTCTTCTACAAGCTTACAATTTGTGGTGATTCCGTGATTGTACCCCTCGATTCATTTTATGCTATCAAGTAAATTTTGTGTATTACTTATACAACTTTGTGAGTGATAAACATAATGCTTATTCTATATTGACTATAAAAGTTTGAATTGAAAATATTTTCATTCCATAATTGTAACATGCCTTCTTTGAGAATGGTTAGCCTGAGAAGGAATCATTTAAATGGCAATTTGTCAAAAGAAATGTGCCATCAATACCCTTTGCTGGAATTCTTGGATGTTGGTGATAATTATTTAGAGGGAAGCATTCAAAAATCAATAAGTAACTGCACATCTTTGAAACAATTATATTTGGACACCAACTCATTTACAGGTGTGCACACCTGTAAACATGTATGTGTGTTTTTCGTAATACTTTTTTCCAATAAAGTAAATGTACAAAAGAATTGATTTTTCATCATCTCATTTATACTATACATTCATGTAATGTGTTGATTTTATCTTTGAAATAAATGTATATTATTTTGTCATTTAAACTTTTTTGAAGTGGTTTTCAAAATGAGTAAGCCTTACTAGTCACAAATATGGAACATTTAATTTTGTTTTGGATAATATAAATTATATATTGTATTTATTATTTATTATTTTTTAGTAATAAGCTTTTAGTTCAATAATAGTTTTTTATGTATATTAGTTATTTAAAAATTCAAAAAAGTACTAAAATCCAAGAAAGTCTATTTGGAAAATGTGAACCACCCAAATTTACTTTGAATGGTTTAAATTTGCTATGACATTGTGATGCTATTTTAATCTTATTCATTTTGATCAATTTCCAATTCCTATATCTTAATTATGCTATATTACTTTTGAACATATGAAATGTGATGCTTTATCGTGATCAAAGCATAATTCAAATGTCAATTAGTTCTATATTAGATCATTTAATCCAAAAGTGAATTATGACTAAAATGCCATATATGATACAAAGAACTGTTTAGAGGGAAACATGAATTAAATGACTTATATGATATAATTTGAAATAATTATATTTTAGTGCTACCCCTTTTATATATATGCCCTTATCCATCCGACTTTTATGCTTTTAACAAATTTTGATGTTTTTTTTTATATGGCTATGTTGATTATGTAAAGACATGTGTGCCTAAGTAATATTGTGGGTCAACAAACATATATTTGTTGATGTCTATTTGTTTATCTGTTTTTCATCTCTTAAATTTCAAAAGGTATTTTTTCTTTTTATCATTTCATTCATTTTGTATGTTCACATAATCTTTTCTATGACACACAATCAAGCAATGGTGGGGACATAATTTGCTAAATGTAATAAGTAACTAGAGGACTATATACTTGAAAAGATTTTATGGCATACAGGTAACAAGCTTTTGAGAATGATAAATTTTTATTATTTAATTTATTTTTTTGCCATAATGATCTAATCTTATAGAGAAGATAGAAAAGGTCAACCAGTTGGATTTTGATTCTTCTCTCTTTCCATTTATTTCTCTTTCATCTCCTGCATTTTCATTTCTTTATTAAAACAATCACACGTCCTATAACATGAAAAATAATTTATTCTATGGTTATTGGTCCTGCCAATTTGGGATCGTGTATTAATGTTATTTAATTCTGAACGTGAGCAAGTCATCAATGACATTCTAAAAAAGAATATAAATTTACAATAGTCTCCTAAAATATTGAGTGTTTTGAGCTTCTAAAACATAAATTATCTTTTGGAAAAAGCTTGGAATGTTTTATATTTTTTTTATCAAATGGAATGTTTAAGGTTTAATTATATCCATGATATGTTCATTCATATTCATGAATATTAAAATATTTTTTAGTATACAGTCTCTAACAATATACTAGCTGAGATAGAATTTTTAATTTTGCTATCAAACTATGGGAAAACATAATCATCGGTCCCTATAGTTTAATTGGGCTTTGCTTTTAGCCCTTATAGTTATTTTCTAGTGTTTTCAGTCCCTATAATTGCAAAAAAAAATTAATGACATTTGTTTTTTAGGTCTTTATGTTTTCAGTTTTTTTTAGTGTTCTTAGTCTCTATAAGGATTAAAAACACTGGAAAAAACTATAAAGACTAAAAGCAAAACCTGATAAAATTATGGGGATCAAATATTATATTTTCCCATCAAACTATTTAGATGTTGCCCAACACATTTCATGTGGGCGTGTACTTCGTATGAATTATTTAATTCCCTACAAATACGAAAATTGGAGATACACAGATGGTAATATTGTTTACAAATTTTATTACGTCATGTGACCTCATGTGTAATATAATTTATATATAATTTATTGGTGAAATTAATTCCATAATTTCTCTTTAGCATTTCTTCTTTAAAAGAAATTTTAATGTCCAATTGGTAATTTATATTGGAAGTCCCATATTTAATTTGCTTTCCAACAAAAAGGAGATTATTTTCTATTAATTTTAAAGCTAATTAACATATTTCCATGTATTATTTATACGGTTGTGTGTGAATTCAGGAAATTGCTAGTCTTACTACCAATAATTAAATATTTTGTATATATTTTTATAGGTGGAATTTCTTCATTTATTGGGAACATGCCTTCTTCCAGACATGTTAACCTCCGCATGAATCATTTAAATGGTAATTTGCCAGAAGAAATGTGCCATCAGCTCCCTTTGATTGAAATCTTCTGTGTTTCGTATAATCAATTAGAGGGAAGCATTCCAAATTGATTAAGTAACTGCACATCTTCGAGAGAATTATATTTAGCTGCTAACTCATTTACAGGTAAGCAGTTGTTTATGTATTTTCTTTTTTTAATATTTTTCTCTAAAAGAAGTTTTTTTTTAAATCATTTCATGCTTATTGTTCATTCATACTCAAAAAACTTCGCAATATTTATAATGGACCTACATTTTGCACGCTTTTATCTCCATTCCATTAACTTTAGATTTATATTTTTTTTTTCTTTCTCAGTAGTATAGAATATGGTTTGTTTGATTTCTTGCTTTCAAAATAGTTTTTTTTTTTTACAACAAATGTTTTTTTTTAAAAAAACTTGTTTGATAATGTGCTTTTGGTTTCATGTTTCTAGAAAACAAAAAAAAAATTAAAGGCTGTAATGAAAAAATAAAAAAAATCAAAACTTCTTTTTGATATTTTTGTCATCTTATGTTTTATAAAATTATAGAAAAGACAAATAATATCATGTTTTCATTAACGACCTTATTTAAACGAAGTTAACGTTATTTAAAAATTTTTCAAAATAATGATCCAACAATTTAATTTTCTGTTGTAAAACTTACTCTAAAAAATCACTCTACAAAAATGTTTTAAGAACATGAAAATGAAGAAAAGAATCAAACAAGCCATAGAATTTTTTGACCTGTTCAAGTTTTTCTTCAATTTTGCTTTTTTATTTAACAAAATTATTAATTTCCAATTAAACGATCAATTCAATAATTACTACCTGGAAAAACTTAATTTTAAAAATAAATCTTATAACCTTGTCACTCGTCAAAGGAATTTTATGATTTTATTAAAATTTTAAATTTTAAATCTGTTACAAAGACTTGAAAACAATTAAAAAGTTCATTTTTTTATTATATAAAAAAATATAACCTTTTTTTTTTAAGTTCATTCGGTTATAAACAAGTTATTACCTATCAATTTTTGTTTTTCCAGGTTTTGCACCCAAGGAAATAGGAAATCTTGTTAAACTTGAAATCTTAGTTATGGGATCAAATCATATGAGTGGACCTATTCCTTTCAATATATTCAACATTTCATCATTGAGACGCCTATACCTTGGAGTGAACTTCCTCTCTGGCCTTCTCCCATCATATTTAGGAACGGGCCTTCCCAACTTAAAGAATCAGTGGTGTCATGGAATGAAATTTCTGGACACATTCCAAGTAGCATCTCAAATGCTTCAAAGCTCACTGTATTATATTTGTCTTTTAATAAATTTACTGGGGTTATACCCAATGTACTTGGGAATTTAAGCAACTTGGTGGCAAATATCTTGATGGTAATGATTTGAATGGGTTCATCCCTGCAACATTCAGCAAATTACGAAGCCTTCAACATTTAAGTCTTAGTAACAAAAAATTGCAAGGGTCCATAGTAAATGAACTTTATCAAATCAAAAGTTTGAGTGAGCTGTATCTTGCCAATAACATGCTTTCAGGAATGGTTCCAGAGTGCCTTGGGAATACTTCTTTGAGAAAGGTATATCTAAATTCTAACAAATTTGTGTCTCATATGCCCTCATCTTTGTGTAGTCTCATTGATATCTTGGCTCTAGACTTATCGTGTAATGCCTTGAGTGGATCAATTCCACATGAGGTATCAAACCTGAGAGCACTTTTAGTATTGAATTTGTCCAGAAATCAAATATCAGGAATCATTCCTCCAACTATTGGTGGCTTGCAAACTCTAACAAACCTTTCTTTGGCCGAAAACAAATTACAAGGGCCTATTCCTGATTCGTTCAAGGGAATGATAAGCATGGAGTTTATGGATCTTTCCCATAATTACTTGTTTGGTGTGATTCCAAAGTCTTTGGAGTCATTAGTCAATCTTAAATACCTTGATCTTTCCTATAAGTTACTATGTGGGGAAATTCCAGATAGTGGGCCTTTCCAAAATTTTACTGCTGAATCTTTTATGATGAACAGAGATCTTTGTGGGAAACCCCAATTCCAAGTCCAATCATGCAAGGAAGGACACAAGCACATAGCAAACAAAGTGATGTTATTAGTAAAATGCTCATTGCCAATCATTGTTGTCATTTTGGTTGTTTCATGCATTTTCTTTCTTAAGCATAAGAGAGATAATGTCAATTATTCAATCCGTAGGGATTTAACAAATTTGGGGACACCAATTAGGATATCATATTATGAGCTTCTACGTGGAACAAATGGATTTGATGAGAGTAATCTCCTTAGCTTCGAAGTTTTGGATCAGTATATAAAGCAATTCTTCCAAATGAAAAAATAGTTGCCGTCAAAGTATTTAACTCACATTTGGAAGATGCCTTGAGAGGTTTTGATATTGAATGTGCTGCCATGTGTACTTTACACCATCGCAATCTAATTAAAATAATCAATTGTTGCTCAAATGATCATTTCAAATCTCTAATAATGGAATTCATGGAAAATGGGAGTCTTGACAGATGGTTGTACTCTCATAACTATTGTTTAGATGTCCTACAAAGGTTAAATATAATGATTAATGTAGCAACTGTATTGGAGTATCTTCATCATGGCTCTTCTATACTTGTTGTCCACAGTGATGTGAAACCGAGCATTGTATTGTTGGACAAAAATATGGTGGCTCATCTTAGTGATTTTGGTATTGCTAAATTGTTTGGTGAAGGACAACTACACATTTATACCAAAACTTTAGCTACTATTGGTTATATGGTGCCAAGTAATGATTAATAATATTATTTGGGATTTATTTGTGTGTTCTTTTATGTTGTTATACTATATAAAATTTATATGTTATTACTAGAAAGTATTTATTGTCTTTATCATATGTGAAGATTTGTATTTATTTTAACCCCAAACCTTATGTTTTTGATATTATTACTTTTATATTAACTATTCAACAGAGTATGGATCAAAAGGAGTTGTTTTTGTCAAAGGAGATGTGTATACTTATGGCATTTTGCTTATGGAAACGTTTACAAGGAAGAAGCCAACAGATCAAATGTTTGTTGAAGGATTAAGTTTAAAGCATTAGGTTAGCAAATCAACACCGCTTTCAATCACCAATATTCTAGATGCCAATTTGCTGTATAGAGAACATCAAAATATTGATAATATATTACCTCATATATCATCAGTTTTTGAGCTATCATTGAAATGTTGCCATGACTTACTTGAGGTGCGACTTTCAATGGTTGATGTTGTGGTGTTATTAAACAAAATAAAGGTTATATTTATGAAAAATGTTAGAGGCTACTATTTCTTTAAAATTTTTATTTTATTTCTTTGGGAACATGTACTCTTGTAAAATGGAGTGACTTATGTTGTAATAATATCTAGTTTGAAATTTGAAATTGTCTTAATTGATTATATGAGTTTCGGGTTTCTTCATCATGTTGGTTGTTTTTTTTTTCATTTTAGGATTTTGTTTTCCAATATTAAAATGTACCTAGCTAGGTTCTAGTCTTTTTTCTTTAATTATTTGATTTTAGAAGAAATGGTTTTTTAAATAAATGGAAGTAAGCGTTACATTTTGCTCTTATTCTTCTTTATCCTCTAAATGCTAATGTCTTGGAAATTAACCTCTTGTTATTAGTGAAGATCCACTAATATTATATTATGTTTGTGAAAGTAAATATATTTCATTTGTGAGAAGAACTTAAATAACTAAAGTAGTATCTGTAGCTCCAAAGAAGATGCTTAATCAAAGAAGAACATGTTAAGAATTTATTTTGTTGATACATCTCATCATTTTTCGCAGGTTATGGCATTAGTTGTCCTAGGTAGCAATTATGAATCAAGTGATCCATGAGATACCATCACTCAAATTTTCACTATTCTGGTTTTCGAAAATTTTTATTTTAATAAAAAGGCATCACTCTATATCACTCAATCAACCCGTTGCATAAACCTAAATTAAAGGCTGAAAGAGTAAATCGTCTATGGTCGTGGAATTCCGACTGGAGGCATTAAGACAATAAATGAAAAATTGAAAGAGATCAAGCTCTTCATGGGATTAAACAAGTCCTCTTTTAGCCAATGTCAACGCGGAACAAGCAAATTCTTTTGCAGTATTGTATTTTGTTTTTTTTTATATAGTAGAAACAACTTTATGTTGCTGTTACGTTGTTTCTATTCTCAATTTTTTCTGTATATTTTGAAAACAAGTGAAAGGCAGAGAATTATTTGTTTGCGTAGGGGCACAATCATAAATGACATGAAATTGCAATTAGGTTTAGGGTATTCTGTCTCTTTGTTGATTCCTCACATCTCTGTTCTCCTTCTTCTTCAAAATGTCTTCATGCTCAACACTACAACATTTTTGGTCTATGGAAATGTCTTCATGCTCAACACTACAACATTTTTTGTCTATGACAACTGTTGCTATAAGGTGAAAAACTGTTGCCTATACCTGTACGCAATGGTTAATCAATGGTTTTCAGGGATGGAATATACTCATGTTATCTAAAGTCTAAGGCAATAGTTTTTTACCAACTGTGCAAACGAAGGACAAAACCGTTACCTATAGTTTGACAATGGGAATGGGTTTGACCTTTAAGAATAGGCAATGATTTTTGCCTGTTGCCAAGCTATTCCAACAATCCTCAACTGTTGCGTATAATTCAATTGGCAATAGTTTTGTGCCATTGCTTATAGTCTGAGAATAGGCAAGAGGGTTTAAGAAATAGGCAACAATTTTTACTTGTTGCCAAGCTATTTTTACAATCTTCACCCATTGCCCGTTACCTATTCTCTTTAGACAATTGATTTTTTTCGTTGCTATTATTGTATAATTATTGCCTAATGTTATTACATTTATACTATTATTTAAATTATCTAAGATAAAATTTCCTATATCTCCATAAAATGACAATAATAACCAAAAAAGATCGATTTAATTAATAAATTCAACAAATTCATGGTATCCAACATACAATGAACTTTCAAAATATAATATTTTACCAATAAGAGAGTATAATAAGCTCTCAAAATAAAGTCAAACTTCAAATACATGTATAACGACAAAAAGACATATTTATTCCATGAGGTATTTTACTAATTCTTTTTTTTTTCATTCCTTCCAATCTTTGAGGTTTACTTGACCAAACCTCTAAATTATCTTCCTTCGTAACTAGAGGCCACAAATACATTAACACAATATTCATTTCACTTATTAAAGCCGTGGAGACAACAATTATTCATAACCTATTCTAACTTGCTTTCTTTGGCCTCAAACTTGTTCTAACTAGCAGTGGAACCATGGCATGCCAAGGGCTAACGGAACTGTCATTAACATCCAGCATTCTGAACTCAGTCCTCCTTAGTAAAATCAAGCATGTATGAAGCAAGAAAACAATTTCAAATTTTCTTTTCTACTTTCAAACACTATCCAACTATTATTTTTCATCATTACTTGTTAATCAACATAAACTATCAGTAAAATCAACATATTTCAATTAATAAAACACTTATTAGAAAATAGGAAAAATAAGAATGTTTGTGCAATTTATAAAGGATTAATAGTAAAATTTTAAATAAGGAGATTTTATAAACACTTCACTAAAAATTTATTCAGAACGCTACCCACTCACCTGAGTTTTCAAAAATCTTATAGTCAGACTCCATCAATTTCTTACTTAATTCAATGATGCCCCAAATTAATCTAACATGTAAACCAACACATTTATGTCACTACGATTTCCCTTCTTAATATAAATAAGCAAAATTAACGTTCAAGCTCTTCAATTATTCATTAAATTTCTCAATAACCATATAACCATGAAGAATATTTTTCATAATCAAATTCCTTTGCCACTTTTAAGTTAAACTCAACTAAATAGCATTTAAATCAATCATGCTTCTCACCATAATTAATGGAATTTAAAAAAAAAATCTTCAACCAGAACTCTTTTAATGGACATTCAATCAAACACTTCACATGCATAAACATGCAAGTTTTAACACTAAATTCTTCTCTTTAAATCTCTCCCCAAATTTCTTCCAACAATTCTACAACACCAATACTCCAATAAATCCAGCTTATTCATGCAGTCACACAACCATAGAAATAGAGAGAAATGATCAAAATTTTCAAATATATATATATATTTTATAGCTATTAGTTCTCGCCCACACACATATATTCAGCAAAGAGAGGCACAATTGGCAACTTCAACTATTAAAATGCCCGTATACCAAATTAACAAAGAGTTCAAACCTTCAGACATGAACCTGTAATGATAAGGAAGAGGAAGAGAAAGAAGTGGACCGAAACAGATGAAGGAAGAATTCACGCACCAGCAGCTGCACCCATAGACGCACGAACAGAGAAGGAGCAAGACTGAAGTTTCCAATCACCCTCTGCTCCAGCGACGGCAACAAGAACAGGAGCTGAGAGAGAAAGACGCTGCTATTCAGACACCAAGAAGATCACCGGCGATGTTGAAAACGAGCACACGCATGGCTATCAACTTAGAACAGAGACAGCAGTAGGGAACGACAAACTAAGAAATTCAACAACTCCATGCTCTCTCTCTCTCTCAGTGACAAAAATACACAATAATAGCTGGCACACACCTCACGGACTCATGTTGACGCAGATGAGCACGATGACAGGGAAACGAAGTCAGCAACTGAACTTCAGCGTGGCTGGCAACGTGAACGAAAAGGACGAAGCAACAGCAGCCAAAATGATCTCCTATCATAGCGAACTAAGAAGGTTGATAAGAGTCAAGGAAATGAACCCACTAGCAGCGTCTAGAGAAGTGCAATGGCGATGGAGAACTAAAAAGTAAATGCCCTGTTTTTTTTTTTTTTCCTGGTTTCGCATGAGAAAATAAAACTGATCGAGAGGAGTTTTGAAAAAACTTACAATAATGAGCACAAGAAAATTATAAAAAAAAAAAGGTACAATAATATTACAATAAAAGACACGAGACAATTTTAAAACTAACCTTTTGCCTAGAAAATTTGAACTTCAGATCCTCAGAAAAATTTCTAGCATGAATTCCTCTAAACTATCAATTTCTACTTACTATAAAATTTATTTAAGTAAAATATCTATTGAAAGAATTTTTGTTCAATTTAAAATTTAGGATCATTATAGTTTTGGAATTAGATGTCGTTTAGTGGGAGATTTATCTTGGTTTTTGTTTCTTTCTCTCTCTCTCTTAATCATTTTTGCATGCTTGAATCTATCTCTCTTGCTGCTCTCACTCTGCCGCAACACCACCGAAAATTATGCTAAAGGAATAAGAAACTATGATTAAACTTTAAAAATTAAACCAAGTTTAATAATGTTTCAATTCCACTAATTCTAACCGAGTATTTACCCTTTTAATTTGGACCAAGTATAAATTAGAATTTTTAAATACTTGCTGCTGGTCCGTGGACGCTACAATCACTTAAATTGCGCTTGGAATTATTTCATAAGGTTTTTTATTTATAATGGGTATAAGTTTTCGTGATTTTCTTGACATAACCAGTGAAAAAAATGATGTAATTCTTCTAAATATTTCTCTTCCTTCAAATATTTTAAATAACATTTTTCCTTCTATTCTTTCTAAATTTTGCATAATTTTTCTGTATTTACATTTGAAAACCCAAAACTTTTATAAATTATTAACTTTAAGTATATCATTATAGTTCATATACATGGATGAGTTTTGAATTTTTGTTTCTAATATACAGGCTTTTACCAATATACTAAAACATGCTTTTGTTGTTTCTGTTTTTAATTTTGCTATCACATTTCATGTCGTCAAATGCATTTTAAATATGCATATACTTTGGCACCTGTATTGCTAGAAAAATATTTGTTTTGTGTCAATCAAACATATTTAATTTAATAAAAAGTATCATATACATAGTAAGATAACAATAAAATGGTGATAGTATTATGTGCATATATTTCTCGATGCGAGAAATAATATAAATTTAATAAATATAATTACAATTATATCATAACAAGATTGACATTTCACTATTTATCATTACTGCTAATCTTATATCAATAATTACTGTAGAAAAAGCTTA